GATCCACAGTCAAATTCCTCTCCATATTTAACAAAGCAAAGGTAAGCTTCTTTCTGGTATTCTCTGCTTTCAGTCAAGATCTGTCTGTTCAGTAACCACATCCCTCATTCCACATCCTCTTCTGAATCCAGCTGGAATTTCTGGCAGTTCCCTGCTGCTGTACTGCTGCAACCGTTTTTGAATCAACTTCAGGAAAATTTTACCTGCATGCAATGTTAATGATATCGTTCATTAATCTCCACATTCTGTTGGATCACCTTTCCTTGGAATGGGCACAGAGACGTACCTCTCCTGCTCAGCTGGCCAAGTATCATCTTCCAAATTTCTTGGCCAAGCAAGACACAAGGAAGTTAAATAACCAACCTCTGAGCCACAAAGACATTTTATTCAATATACAAATATTCATCAAGTACCTAATACAGGCACATGGTTATTGACACAGCAGTAAAGAGAACTCAGAGAATACAGGTCCAAACCATATTCTTTCTGTTCTACCAGAAATAAAGCAACAGACTGCACCAAAATCTGTCTAATGAATGAGTAACCAAGAATCAATCATTGAACTCACAAGGAGCAAGCTATGCTCTCAGAAATAACTGCAATTTACATTCATGATTTATTTTTTCCTCCAAAGACTTTTATTTGCCATGCAAACAGTACAGAGTTACATTTTTCAATTTCCTACATATACTTAATTTTCTTCATATTAGGAGGAACTAGCTAATCAAGTAACTTCTATTTAACTATGTCAAACTTCCTTCAGCTAATTCTTACTTTTACTTCCACCTTTTCACTGGCCAATCAAGTATATTCTCCTCTCATGGCATAGTGCCTAAGGCATCTGACTGCTAACCAGAAGGTTAGTGGTTTAAACCGACCAGCCACTCCACAGAAGGAAGACTGGGAAACCTACTTCTATAAAGATTTATACCTCAGAAACTCAAAAGGGGTCGCTGTGAGTCTGAATCAATTTGATGGCAGTGAGTTTGGGATTTTTTTTTTGTTTGAGTACTTACAGAGAAAAATCTAATTCTATTTCTAAATACTATCTCAGCAATTTCATACAAAACAACAATATCATTCTTGTAATCTTAGAATAAACTAATCAGAATGATCCATTTATATCTCATAGATTTATTCCTATTTTCTTAACCTGTTATTTCACTCAATATATGCAAAAGTAGACAGCTGGGATATGGTCAGTAGAATTAAGCTGTATATATGTTTATAAACAAACAAACAAAAAAAAATGTTTATAAAGGGAGCTCTGGTGGCATAGTGCCTAAGGCATTTGACTGCTAACCTTTAAAAGGCTAGCAGTTCAAACCCATCAGCCACTCCTCAGAAAAAAGGATGGGCAATCTATTTCCATAGTGATATGACCTCGGAAGCCCAAGGAGGGGTCGCTATGAATTGAAGACGACTCAACAGAAGTGAGATTGTTTTGTTTTGTTTTGTTTTTAATGTTTATAAAATGGTGTTTATTTTGTTTTTAATGTTTATAAAATGGTGTTTAAGAACACGGTAATGTTTACTATCTCAGTATTTAACTAATTTCACTAACTTAAAGTACATTACAATAGACAAACCAAATATTATAATATCATTATTACTATACTGTAACAGCATATTGAGAATCTGTTCTTATTTACAACGTGTAGCCCTCAAAAAAAGACCTCTGGTGGTGCAGTGGTTAAACCGTTTGGCTGCTAACCGAAAGGCCAACAGTTTGAACCCACTAGCTGTTCTGCAGAAGAAAGATGAGGCATAGGCTTCCAGATTTACACCCTTGGAAACCCAGTAGAACAGTTCTACTGATGCCATAGGTAATTGACTCAGTGGTGCAGGTTTCATTTAGTTTGGCCAAAAACAAAGTTTCAGACCTCTGGTAGAAGTTCACAACATGAGCAGAATCACCTTTCAACGGAAGCACTGCCTTTTCAACCTGTTCATGATTCTTAAAGTAAAAGTTCAAGTGCTCTTCGTCACAATTTTATGATGCTCTGAGTCAAGAGGACACCCTTCACCAAAGCGCCTTACCTGCAGGACATCCTGGATCTTCACCCACACGTCTGCCATGTCGTACAGTTTGACCTCTTCCTGCTGAGTCAGGGAAGGGCTGACAGTCTGCTGCAGATACCCCAGGACCACAGAGTGTGCGGCAGCTACCGCGTTAAACTTGTCAAACAGTAACTCCAGCAGTTCTAGAAGTAACCTAGTGGTGAAAACAGCAGTAATAATAATAATAAATGGAATTCATACTCACACATGTATGCAGTGTCAACACACGTAGTTAACAGTGGCCTCCAAAAAAAAATAAAATAAAGCTAAGTTGCAAACTACGATGCTAAATGTTAGCATAAATGGTTAAGTTTGATTTCAAACAGCTGCACGAGCTAAAAAAAGGTTTCTTAGCTTATCTGAGCCTCAGTTTCATCTGCTATTAAGTTGAAATGATACAAAAATTTAAAATCCAATTGTAAAGAACCCAAACCAGTAAGAGCAGTTCAATAAGCATCTGTTTCTCCTTTCACTTATTTCAGTGATCACCTGGCTGGCACAGTTCAGATGTTACAGCGAATATGCTAACCCTTGACAATACTATGCACTCTGGAAAGGCTACTCAACTTTCAGTCATAAAAAGCTGAGCTTACTATCGTTCAAAGGCCTAAGTGGCCTGAAAAAACACACACGTGCCAAGCCGTCTGACTTTCACCACAGGGAGCATCCATATGATCCCATTCATCACAGTCAGATATGCTGGACACATATTATTACATCTGCTTTATGTACCCAAGGACACAAACTGGGGTTGCAAGGGAGCTGGGCCTAGAACAAAAGTTGATTTCGTCAATGCATTGAGTCCCCTACCTCTCCCTACAGTTCTAGAACGTAAATGTGTATTCAGAGACGGCTCAGGGCTTTATGCCATGTAGTGACCCCTCAGCCACTGAGCCTTCCTGGGTCACTCCTCAGTCAGCCATCCACCTTCTCCTCTGAACTTGCTCAGGACTTGACCCCACCTTGAAGGAATTTTTCATACATATTAATAAATGTTCAAACAGTCATCCCGCCTTCTCCGTTACCAACTTTTCAGCATAGGCCCTGCCTCAGATGCCTCCAAATACTTCAGACCTGAATGAATGATGCCTGTAACACGACCCACCACCAAAAGTCTTAGAATGTGTACTTTATTCTATATGTGTGGCTCTCAAGGTCTACCAAAAAAAAAATCATTGTCAAGTCCAATTCTGACTCATCCTAAAACAGAAAGTAGAAAAAGCAAGAAAGCTTGTCAGCAGTTTCAATTAATAATATTTTACTGCCACAAATAAGAGGTTATAATTGCAATCACATCAAAATGGACAGCATAGTATCTATCCCTATGGCTTCCTTACTGCCCAATTATCACAATTAATGTGCCGATGAGACAGCCATAACTATCTGATGATAAAACCCTAATACCTGACACTGTAATTTAGATGAGACCCAATCAACAGAAATTCACAGCACACTCCCAGTCCAGAAAGTGGGTAACCTGAAGATGACACGTTCTATCTATAAACAGGGCCCGTCCTGCCCTCTCTGAATGATATCTTCAGTTTCTGTATCACTTAAAGGTGGGCTCTCATTTCTACGCATGCATGCCTCAAACAACTCTCCTCCCCCACCTGTTATCTGAGAACCACCCAAGTGTCAGCAGACGGGAGCAAAGCACAGCAGTGTGTGTCTAGGCATGACGGCAGATTATCCAGCGGCGGTGGACAATCTGGAGAAAATGGTTAGCCGGCACCACACACGGTGAGGAACTGAGGAAGCAAAGTTTCTGCTTTCTGAATAGAGATCCGTGCTGAGTGTAAAGCCTGTGTTCCAAGTACCCATCCACAGACCAGAATCTATTTTTCAGAGGCACACAGCAAACTAAGAAAAACTAAGAAAAAAAATAAGAAGAGAATGTCCTCAGAATGCTTTGTTCAAGTAAAATGTGGAGATAATTTATGTGTTCACAGTTTTAAACTTTCTACCCTTTTCACAAGGCTAAATTTATTGAAGTTTATATTCTTTGGACTCTTCTGGTAGGAAATCGTAGCTGTTTTCTGTCAGAATGGCAGCCGTGTTGCCAAATGTCCTATGAGATACCAGCAGAGCTTCACAGCCTTTTGTTGTAACCCCGATACTTTTGGACTATCGCTCCATGACATCCGGAAGCCCAGAGCATGCTGGCCAGGGCCCAACCTCCCTGTGGCATGAAGTTCCAGGCACAGTCCTGCCAACCAGCACCAAGGACGGACACCTGGAGGCTGCTGCGTTCCGGGCCGCACACCCGGTCTCACAATGTCGAGGCCAGGTTAGTAAAACCACAGCAGCCCCGTCCCAGGACAGCACTCCACTCCATCCAGAAAAGGCAGCGGAGGAGCCAAGTTTTAAGGCAGGACCCAAGGCACCTCTTGTTGTTGTTATGTGCCGTCGAGTCAGCCCTGACTCATAGCGACCCCTCCTTGGGTTTCCGAGGCAGTATCACTAC